GATGGGGAACCCTAGTTCATGGTAATCCCAAAAAGTAGGATCCTTGTTGTAAGGAGCTGGAAACAGGACACCAGTAAGTTTTTCAAAGCCCTCAGCGGGGGTTTTGATTTGCAAGGAATCCCCACTGTCCCACTATGCACTTCAACTACCGCTACTTCGAGACGGAGACAGGACAGTGGCAGCTCAGCGAAATGGGGAGGAAGTCGTTGCAGTCCTTGATTTTGAGGTGAAAATGGTTTCAAGTCCCAAACTTTGAGCCAGGCGAGGTGATACAAGAATTCTCAAACCCTAAACCCTAAACCCCTAAACCCTAAGCCCTAAACCCTAAACCCTAAAGCCTAAAGCCTAAAGCCTCCCTTAATTCAGCCCCAAAGGCGCAGATGAAGCGGAGCCGAGGTGGTTCGGTGGTGGGACGGACATCACTCCCTCCTACTTGGCGGCTTGGGCAGCGTAGTCTACAACTCAGGCTTTCGAGGATTGACTCACCCCGCCCTCAAACCCCGACCCAACAACAGTGCTCTGGAATGCTTCGAACTCTCACTCTCCGAAACCCTGAAGGCACCGCAGCCCTGAAGCACTGCAGCCCTAACCGAGGACAAGGATGACATGAAGCATTTCCACGGCACCTACAAGGCCTCGTTCTATTTAGACCAGTGTTTCTGCAGTGGATAAGATGCCATTTAGACATATGTTCATTGAGTATGTTCATTGAGTGCCACATCCTCCCGAGCCCGACTTCGGTGGGCTGCTGGGGGTTCAAAAGCCAAAGATCAGGACTTATAGCCTGAAGCCTTTGTGAGCTTTCCGTGGGATCAGGGTTTAGGGTTTATAGGTTTCGGATTACGTGGTTTAGGGAAACTGGGTCAGGGTGAATAGCTTCAGGGTTGTCGGGTTTCGGGTGCAACCGGCGTAATTGGAAGCTGTGGGCGAAGCCTTACCTTGGCAGCAAGAAGCACTTCGATGCGCAGGATGTTTGCGACAAGTACGACCCCGAGTGGTACAGCAAGTTCAAGAAACTCTGGCAGCAGCTCCGAAGTTTGACGCAGCCCCAAAGTTCCCTGAACCGCAAGCCCGAAGCTTGACATCTGAAAGCTCTGCACAGACACGCCCCCCTTCCCCTTCAAAGCTCAGGATTAGAGTGGATATGCCAAGCTGTGGACTTCCCTGCAGCCTAGCATTGTACAGACCTCTTCCCAAGTTTCGGGGCCACAGATGCTTGCCAGCTCTCTGTTCCAGTTCTTATTCCTCACCATGAAATGCAACCATGAGCCGTGAAACGGCAAGCAATCTTATACAACCCATGTCGCGACTTCTACTCAGCTTCCGCTTTCGCTCCCGATGAGTTCTTGTATCATGCAGGTGACAAGATCGGAACTAATACCCTAATACAAAACCATGCCCCATTATGCATTCTTAGAGTTAAGGGAGTCCTCTATCAAGGCTTTAGCACAACTCTCGCGAAGATTAGAGAAGGAAGTGGGCCGACGAGTACTTCCTCATCCAGCATCGCCAGGCTCTGAAATTTTAACAGTGCAATGTGCCCCAAAACCGTAATAAAATCTATTAAGGTCCACGTATTACGGTTTGGGCTTTTGGGCCCCTCTACACCTCTAGGGTTTGCGGCTCTGCCGGCCGCCTCGGTAAGCATCTGAGTAGATGATACATCTTAAATCTTACAGGTGCACATAAAACGGCAACGGTCAAGGTTTAGGATGAGATTTCGGGACTGCTCGGGTGAGTCCGTGACGGTATGACCGTGCCATGCACCTGTCGCTGTTGTCAGTCAACCCTTGAGCACCTGACCCTACTCAAAAGCCCCGGAATCCACCCGACCCGAATCCGCGAAGCCCGGGAGCCCGAAGCCAGGAGACCCGTGGCCTCGGTGGCATCTTCTTTGACGACTTCAACACGGAGGCAAAAACTAAAGCCTTAAGGGGTCTTGGTGTTTGGGGCCTATGGTTTTAGGTCTTTGGGTATTCCAGGTCATTCGCTTTAGGGTCCAGGTCTTCAAGCTTGCGTTTAGATTTTGGGAAGCTGGAGCCATGCAAGATCCTGCCAGGAAACACCATGCATGTTCGTAGCTTTTAGCTCCGAGGTCTTGCAGGTTGAGGGCGCCCGTTCCTTTTGCCATTAGAGTTTTTTTCCAGGATGTTCCCAGAAGTCCCAGACTGCGAATCCTTCGAAATCAGTGGCGTTCTCTCGGAGGATCCCGAGACGCACCTGAAGTTCTCCACCGACTGCCTACAATCAGTCGTCAAGGCCGGCGCTAAGCTCCGGCTTTCTATGGGTCCTATACCTGGGGAGTTTCATCGATGTGGAAGGCCTTGATATGGGGAGGACAAAGTCTTTGGGTTGAGGGAAGCATGTCCCAAACTTCTAGGTTGGCCTCGCCCCAAACCCAACGTCCCCGAACGCGCAAGAGTCTAAGAGCCAAAGTCGATAGGGAAACCTTCGTCCGTCTGCAGGCCTATGTGCCAATTCTCGAGAAGAACAAGGACACCTGTGGCTGAAACAGGCTTTCGAGTTCATGACTCGAGGCTTTCGGTGTGAGTCTATCATACTACAGCTATGGGAGGCTATTGTGATTGTTTCGACCCATGATTACAGACCCTGCGCCCTGGGACCGACGCTTGAAAGAACCAAGGCCGTCGAGAAAACGACAACCCGACAGGACAAGGAATACACCGAGGAGCAGAAGCAGTGGCAGCTGGTACGACGGGGTCGCTACGAGCCTTGCACTTCCCAGAACCGTCGGTCAGCTTCGGGGCTCTCAGGCTCTTAGAGTTCGGGCCGAAGGAATGTATGGGAGCTTTGGGGTTTGGATGCTGGCGGTTTCAGGGTCCAAGGCATGTTTGTCGCCGGTTTAGTGTCAATGGGTGGTTCAGGCTTGTGGCCTAAGGTATAGGCTTCTGGAATTGGGGTGTTCTGCGTCTCGGATCTGACTTCAGGGTGCCGGGTCCCATGCTTGTGGTAGCTAAAGAAGGGTGCTCTACATTGCGAAAGATTTGGAACCAATCGATGTTTGCCAGCTCTTGCAGAGGCCCCCATCAGTTCGAGGTAGCCTCTGGTAGGCTGTAAGTAGAACTTGAGCCCCCATATCATCAGAGATTGTTTTTTGGTAAAAGTTAGAAGCCGGTTCAACAAACCACAAAGCTCGGATGCTCGGCTTGTGAGCTTTGGGGCATCGGATGAGGTGCCTATGAAGGGTTTTGGTGATGGTCACAGGTTGCTTAGAACATGCAACTCGGTCAATGCGGGGTCTGTGCTTCGTTATCCCGACAAGGTCGAATTCAACCTCGTGTACGACCGCGGCACCGTCTTCGGACTCAAGATGCTCAGCAGTGGCGTAGGCCGCATTGCGACTGGGACTGCATTGGAAGATCGGTTTTTCTTTCCTTCTCGTGTGTTCAAGCAGCTGCGACCAGATACCCTTAAAGGGACCCCAACATAGACCAGCCTGCATCCTGCTGGCTTAAGTTACTGTGCAGGCTTTCGGACTCTCGGATGGAGAGTTGTCTGTGTGTGTGTTGGTGTGTGTGTGTGTCTGTGTCTGTCTGTGTGTGTCTCTGTGTGTGTGTGT